ACCCAAAGCAACATCTTTTCCACAAACCCTAACCCTGACATGATGGTCCTCGTAGTGGAGAACTGTCCTTATATTTCAGGTCAGTGTCATGCCCATCCCCCAACGCACGAGTTATGAAAATGAATGAACCGAGCAATGTACATTTTACTCGAATTTGAGACGTCACAACAGCGTCTTTAAGACGACAGTCCACGTCAACCAGTCTAGCATGATGCCCAACCATCCTACACTTAACATTGCCTGTGTCAAAGAGAAGAAAACAATGAAGGAACATGCGCTCACTTACTTTCTGTTTCACTGATGAGGAAGGATTCACACTGCATTCAGTCACAGCCACTGATGTCTCGTCACACAATTCCTGTAATTATGAGAAAGACAGGTACAACACTGAGGCAAGGATGTTTGCCAATTGGTCACCGCAACTAATTCTAGTATCAACCAAAGACTAAATATCTAGTGTCCCTTTCATGGCTCCGTCGTGCACAAAGCAGACGTGCAGAATTTTTTAAAATAATCTGCATCATATAAAAAACTAACATTCATGAAATACAGAACATGGTTGACTTTCAGTGATAAAGTCTTTAAGAGACTCACCCTTAAACGCGAAGGCCAAGAGGAATCCCCATAGTTGTATGTGACCTCCTCATCTGGAAAGATATGTCTTATACTAAACAGACACAGGTGTGGCCTTCCGTCAACAATGATTGTCTTGACTTTGCAATTTGGATTTTTGTCATCATCATTCCTCCACCGTCCTCTTTTGTTGCATCTATGCTGTGATAAAAATAGTGCAGTAAGAAACTTAAAACATAGACACACACTGAAACATACGGTTCTAACTGAACATTTGGGTTAGGCTAACCTTGGCCTATTTAACCTATATTCAAATACACATTGTGAAAGTTAACTTGACTTCCTAAGAATTTAATAGGTCAGATGATCCACTTAAGGTAAAAAAAATAATACCCCAGTTGAACAATAACCATGTTATTGATTATCACTAACTAATAAGTTCCTAATGTTATGAGAACCCTAGCAAATCTGCTATTGTAATAGTGCGGCACGATTAATCTTATCGCAATCGTAATCGCGATGTCAAGCCTGTGCGATTATATGGCGCAAAATGCTGCAATTTTATGTAAAATAAACAATGGGCTGTTAACGCAATTAACGCAGCATCTGTTATTTTTTGTCATCTTTTGGCTAGTGTTACATGATAATGCTCTCATGCGATTGCTTAAAACCATTCATGCGAGACAAGTCAAAAGAGAGCGCGCTGAATGTCCGACTGTGACTCACAGAAAGACACGCGCCAGAATACAGTTCTCTTTCGCTCTTGAACGAACAACAACACACACAATTATGCCAAAATGTCGTTTGTCGAGTATCTTCATAACTTCTTATGATGGACGTATAGAGTTGTGAGAGGATGAGGCGCATGTGAGATCCGCGTCTCTGTCAGCAGCGGCTGCTCTTAAAGGGCCGGCAGCCAAAGCTTTCTGTCAGTAAAGTTAATCACAGAACAAAGGGGACAGAGAAAATTACTCACTGCTCTTGACTAAAGAACTTATGTAGCTTTAATAAGGATTAGTCTATTTATTATTTATGCAGCGCAGAGTCTGCATACTTGCTGTTTGATAACTTTATTAAATTTCTGCATACCTGTTAGACAGGAAGGGCACAGGTAAATATGACATGTCATTTATAATGGGTTTATGTGAGGATTATTTGAAGTTCACTTAAATTAAAAGCTGTTATATTTTTTGACGTCTAATAAATGTTTTTTTTTTAAATTATAGCTTTCAATTGTAATGATGGAATCACTGTAATGTCGGATGGCTATAATTAATGTTTTAAATGGGGGTGGATTAATTTTTATCCAGACATCAATGGCTTAGATGTTATCAATCATTTAGTTGTTGTTGCTAGTTTGAGTTGAGAAATACACATTTCAGAATTATCACTAATCTGTGTGTGCATTTTGCTTTAGAACCAAGCAAGTTGACTCATGAAACCATTTGTTTATTATATCGCAATCGCATATTCCAATTGCAATATTGACCTCAATAATCACAATGACATTTTCCCCAAATCGTGCAGCCCTATATTGTAATAATAATAGTAATAATAATAAATCATAATCATAACTGTTTTTATTAGAATGACATGCAACTAGTTTGCTCTGAATATGAACCAAAAATAAATAAACCAAAAAAGAAACAGCCAGCTTACCAATAACGTGTTCCATTCCATGTGAAGTCAAACAAGTAGTTGCCTTGAACATCTTTAACATGTTTACTTTGAGAGAGAATCCCACGGTATTCAACAACAAAGGTGGATGGTTCAATGTGCTCAAGTGCAAACACACCTCTCCCTAAAAGGGCAAAATAATATATAATAATACAAATAAAACATGAATCCAAGTGCACCTATATGTTACACAGCTAACCAACCTATCCTTTTAAAGAGTTAAATCCTGTAAAACTGTGTAATGTAATATGAGGTGCAGGAAATAAAAAAAATAAAAAAAATAATCAAGCATTGGTTTTCACTGTGATATAGCCTACTAGTTGAATTTGGTTACACTATTCTCCGTATACATAGTTTTATGTATTTATTTTAAAATAATAATTATAAAAAAATTGTTTAAAGTTTTTTTTTCATCTCTTAACCTTTATGAAAATGAGCGGCTTACCCAAGGGTAAAATGTGTGAATGTGAAAGATCATGTCCAGACTGCCAGCAATAGGCCTACTTTTCATTCTTACAAGTGCATGCCTACTTTATGATTTGATTTGCCTGCAGTCTGAACATAGTCAAATTGCCTTGTGGTGCACAATTTACCTTTGAATGTGTTGATTTGTCGTCCCTCAATGAAGGCTTTGTCTTTGCCCGACAATATGTGTTCTTTTGCATCCTGCTCAGGTTTTATTCTCTTCTTTCTTAACATGTTGACTGAAAACATTCCAGACAACATAATTAGTATGTATTTATAAATATATAAATATAAATAGATAGATAGATAGATAGATAGATAGATAGATAGATAGATATGCTTAATATACAGTACATTATTGTCAGACTTTAGTCTATATCAATAAATACAACATTTTACACAGAAATAGTTGATCAGTGAGGTTTTGAGGCTTGTTACTTTTGATAAGAAACAGTCTCCGATTTCAAATTCAGTCCATTTTATCACTCTTTAATGTGGCGCCTCAGATCAAATGAAGCTAAACTCGTTACTTAGAAAAATTAACTATAGAGAGAAAGTTTTAGAAAATGTTACATGTATTACACCTGATTTACATTAAAATAATAAATGTAAAATCGAATAGGAAATAGAATCGAAAGCACGTGAATTAAAATTGAATGGAATCATAAAATGTCTGCTAATATCCAGCCCTAAAATGAATCAACCAGATAATTTTGGCAAGTCATTCTAATGACAGTAACGTTACATTAATGAAAGTATACTTTTACATTAGTCTCGTTTCTGTTTATTTAATATATTTCTGTATCTTACTGTATTAAACTGTAAATTCATCCACTCAACTTTACCAGTCATCATGATGACAACATAGATTTGATTTATTTCAAAATGTAAATTAATTCTCTCAAGCATCCATGGAGATGTATCTTTCATCAACTAATACTAATACTAGTATCCAACTGCTTATGGACTTATATTAGCCACGTTTAGTGGCCACGTTTAAAGTAATGCTAACGTTATTAAAAACTGTCTGACTCACGACACTTAACTCCATAAAGGTAGAATATATAAATAAACGCACTTACCTTCCTCGTGATAAAGTGAAAATCTCCCACTATAGCTCGTCAACTTCGCTCGAATTCTGCTAATTAATCTTTCATGATGATGATTAATCTTCTGATTAATCACACCGTCACACCACACGTCTGCGATAGAAGATCAGAGGCGCAGGCGCGCTGACTTTGACGGATGTGAAATGCAGCCAATCACTGACGAGGATTCCAGCAGCCAATCACTGACGAGGATTCCAGCGTTCCACCAATGAATCGCGCTTGGGCGTGGTCTGGGTGTATGAAATGTGTATGATACTGCAGTAGCGTCGAATTTCACATAGAGGGAGATTATACACTCTGAGCGACTCTGAGCATACACTGTCACACACTGAAAAACGGGTACAACGGATTTATAAGGACATATTGAGAAAAAGCGGGAGGTGGTTAGGCGCAGCGTGAAATGCCTTTCTACACTGCTCGACTTATGAGGACAGTAGTGCTGTCCTCGTAGTTACGGCATGTCCTCATAGAGTCGGTATGTATCCATGGTTTTTGTCCTCATAATCCGGTCGCACCAACGCACACACACACACACACACACACACACACACACACACACACACACTCACACACACACACACACACACACACACACACACACACACACACACACACACACACACACACACACACACACACACACACACACTCTCACACACACACACACACACACACACACACACACACACACACACACACACACACACACATTCTTTAGCTCTTCCACTGTAGAGTCAGCATTACAGCGCAAGTTGTGCTGGTCATCTTTTGTTTTGTTCTCAGGAAACATTTGGAATTGATTCGTTGAATTGAACTGATTCTTAGAAATGAATCAGATTCATATTTACCAAGTCTAATGCCACTTATAAATCAGAAAAGATACATGGAATCTCAAATTATTTGCTCTCAAACGACTAAACTCGTGATGAAAGGGAAGTAGCGCTGGTCTTCTCTATAGTGTCGTATATCGAGAGAAACGCTTCAGGAACAGGAGCACATGTGGGCGGGGCTTGATTGTGTCTGTGGGGAGTTGATTGGATGGCTGTGGTTTGCTATTGGCTGATCTCCTGTGAGTGACAGGTTGAAGCCCCGCCCACATCATCAGAGAAGAGATGCTGCACGAGGAACTGATTCTGATTCGACATGACTGTGATGTGTGTGTGTGTGTGTTCGCAGGATCACAGTCGCTTCGTGAACTGTGTGCGCTTCTCTCCTGACGGGAACCGCTACGCCTCGGCTGGTGCCGACGGACAGGTGAGACGCTCAGCTTTACTCCATCCTCTCGGCCCCTGAGGGAGTTTCCGTTCCACTGTCGCCTCTGGCTTTCGGCTCGCTTACTTGGGGACATTTAATTTAATATTCAGCAATATTATTGATCTCCTGCATGGACAGCATTATATGAGAACTGAACTGAGCTGGACGATGACATCACGGTTTTCTGCAGAGCCACTATATATATATATAAATATAAATGAACTAAATTAATAACTTTTATACAACAGAAATGAAGCAACATTGAACTTACTTAAGCTGGACTGAGACGCTATTCTCTTCTGGAAACACACTGTGTTGCTTTATTCTCCTGTTATCTCTGTAAAGCTGCTGTGAAACTCTGTGTTGTAAAAAGCGCTGTATAAATAAAGCTGACTTGACAACATTTAAGCTTTTATTTTGCCTTGTTCACTCTGGTTTCTTCCTCCGGTCCAGATTTTCCTGTACGATGGGAAGAGCGGAGAGAAGCTGGGAACTCTGGGAGGAGAGAAGGCTCACGACGGGGGCATTTACGCTGTGAGTGTTGCTCATTTACACGCGACCAGATAATCCGCTAGTAATGGGACTGACGGCTCGATCGCACTGAAAGCTTCATATAAAACACATTAATCGATCCGACTGAGCTCGATCCCAATGAAGTTCCGATCGGATTGAAAGCGGTGGTTTATTCCTTTTCTAATCCATCGAGAGAACATGTGAACACTTGATCAGATTGAAAACCGAAACTGAAAGGACTGCGCATGTGCAATGATGTAGAAATAGCGTCATGATGTAGAAATACCCTAATGATGTAGAAATACCCTAATGATGTAGAAATACCCTAATGATGTAGAAATAGCGTAATGACGTAGAAATACCCTAATGCTGTAGAAATACCCTAATGTTGTAGAAATACCCTAATGATGTAGAAATAGCGTAATGACGTAGAAATAGCGTAATGTAGAAATACCCTAATGATGTAGAAATACCCTAATGATGTAGAAATAGCGTAATGACGTAGAAATAGCGTAATGATGTAGAAATACCCTAATGATGTAGAAATACCCTAATGATGTAGAAATACCCTAATGTAGAAATACCCTAATGCTGTAGAAATACCCTAATGTTGTAGAAATACCCTAATGATGTAGAAATACCCTAATGATGTAGAAATACCCTAATGATGTAGAAATAGCGTAATGACGTAGAAATACCGTAATGACGTAGAAATACCCTAATGATGTAGAAATACCCTAATGCTGTAGAAATAGCGTAATGACGTAGAAATAGCGTAATGATGTAGAAATACCCTAATGATGTAGAAATACCCTAATGATGTAGAAATAGCGTAATGACGTAGAAATACCCTAATGCTGTAGAAATACCCTAATGTTGTAGAAATACCCTAATGATGTAGAAATAGCGTAATGACGTAGAAATAGCGTAATGACGTAGAAATACCCTAATGATGTAGAAATAGCGTAATGATGTAGAAATACCCTAATGTAGAAATACCCTAATGCTGTAGAAATACCCTAATGTTGTAGAAATACCCTAATGATGTAGAAATACCCTAATAATGTAGAAATAGCGTAATGACGTAGAAATACCCTAATGATGTAGAAATAGCGTAATGATGTAGAAATAGCGTAATGACGTAGAAATAGCGTAATGATGTAGAAATACCCTAATGATGTAGAAATACCCTAATGATGTAGAAATAGCGTAATGACGTAGAAATACCCTAATGCTGTAGAAATACCCTAATGTTGTAGAAATACCCTAATGATGTAGAAATACCCTAATGATGTAGAAATACCCTAATGATGTAGAAATAGCGTAATGACGTAGAAATACCCTAATGATGTAGAAATACCCTAATGATGTAGAAATACCCTAATGATGTAGAAATACCGTAATGACGTAGAAATACCCTAATGATGTAGAAATACCCTAATGTTGTAGAAATACCCTAATGACGTAGAAATACCCTAATGACGTAGAAATACCCTAATGACGTAGAAATACCCTAATGATGTAGAAATACCCTAATGATGTAGAAATACCCTAATGATGTAGAAATAGCGTAATGACGCAGAAATACCCTAATGATGTAGAAATACCCTAATGATGTAGAAATAGCGTAATGACGTAGAAATAGCGTAATGACGTAGAAATAGCGTAATGACGTAGAAATAGCGTAATGACGTAGAAATAGCGTAATGATGTAGAAATAGCGTAATGACGTAGAAATAGCGTAATGACGTAGAAATAGCGTAATGATGTAGAAATACCCTAATGATGTAGAAATAGCGTAATGATGTAGAAATACCCTAATGCTGTAGAAATACCCTAATGTTGTAGAAATAGCGTAATGACGTAGAAATAGCGTAATGACGTAGAAATACCCTAATGTAGAAATACCCTAATGATGTAGAAATAGCGTAATGCTGTAGAAATACCCTAATGTTGTAGAAATACCCTAATGATGTAGAAATACCCTAATGATGTAGAAATAGCGTAATGACGTAGAAATACCCTAATGATGTAGAAATACCCTAATGATGTAGAAATACCCTAATGATGTAGAAATACCGTAATGACGTAGAAATACCCTAATGATGTAGAAATACCCTAATGTTGTAGAAATACCCTAATGACGTAGAAATACCCTAATGACGTAGAAATACCCTAATGACGTAGAAATACCCTAATGACGTAGAAATACCCTAATGACGTAGAAATACCCTAATGACTTAGAAATACCCTAATGATGTAGAAATACCCTAATGATGTAGAAATACCCTAATGATGTAGAAATACCCTAATGATGTAGAAATAGCGTAATGACGCAGAAATACCCTAATGATGTAGAAATACCCTAATGATGTAGAAATACCCTAATGATGTAGAAATAGCGTAATGACGTAGAAATACCCTAATGATGTAGAAATAGCGTAATGACGTAGAAATAGCGTAATGATGTAGAAATAGCGTAATGATGTAGAAATACCCTAATGATGTAGAAATACCCTAATGATGTAGAAATAGCGTAATGACGTAGAAATACCCTAATGCTGTAGAAATACCCTAATGTTGTAGAAATACCCTAATGATGTAGAAATACCCTAATGATGTAGAAATACCCTAATGATATAGAAATAGCGTAATGACGTAGAAATACCCTAATGATGTAGAAATACCCTAATGATGTAGAAATACCCTAATGATGTAGAAATACCCTAATGATGTAGAAATACCGTAATGACGTAGAAATACCCTAATGATGTAGAAATACCCTAATGTTGTAGAAATACCCTAATGTTGTAGAAATACCCTAATGACGTAGAAATACCCTAATGACGTAGAAATACCCTAATGACGTAGAAATACCCTAATGATGTAGAAATACCCTAATGATGTAGAAATACCCTAATGATGTAGAAATACCCTAATGATGTAGAAATAGCGTAATGACGTAGAAATACCCTAATGATGTAGAAATACCCTAATGATGTAGAAATACCCTAATGATGTAGAAATAGCGTAATGACGTAGAAATACCCTAATGATGTAGAAATAGCGTAATGACGTAGAAATACCCTAATGATGTAGAAATAGCGTAATGACGTAGAAATACCCTAATAATGTAGAAATATCGTAATGACGTAGAAATACCCTAATGATGTAGAAATACCCTAATGATGTAGAAATACCCTAATGATGTAGAAATAGCGTAATGACGTAGAAATACCCTAATGATGTAGAAATAGCGTAATGATGTAGAAATACCCTAATGATGTAGAAATAGCGTAATGACGTAGAAATACCCTAATGATGTAGAAATAGCGTAATGACGTAGAAATAGCGCAATGATGTAAAAATATCGTAATGATGTAGAAATAGCGCAATGTAGAAATAGCGTAATGACGTAGAAATAGCGTAATGTAGAAATAGCCTAATGACATAGAAATAGCCCAATGTAGAAATAGCGCAATGTAGAAATAGCGCAATGTTAAAATAGCCTAATGACAGAAATAGCGCAATGTAGAAATAGCGTAATGACGTAGACGTAGCGTAATGACGTAGCAATAGCGTAATGACGTAGAAATAGCGTAATGACGTAGAAATAGCGGAACGACGTAGAAATAGCGTAACGACGTAGAAATAGCGTAACGACGTAAAAGTAGCGCAATGGCGTAGAAATAGAAATAGCGCAATGACGTAGAAATAGCGCAACGACGTATCACACGTATCACACACATCAACCCGATCACATGATCAGCGCTCATGTAAACACTGCATTCAGATTCATCAGTAGGAATGAGTTCAGTGCGACTGAAACAGAAGCCGGTGTGATGAAGATGAGGAGGATGATGATCCTCTTCCTGTGCATTTTAAAATTTTAGTCATTACTTACCGAGCCTCTCATGGCCAAGCGCCGTCTCACCCCAGGGTTTATTACACACACACACACACACACACACGCTCGCTCTCAGGCCTCCAGGCCTCTAACTCTTCCCCGAACTCTGTGTTCGGCCCGACTCTCGCCCGCTAGCAGTGAGAACTATGGCTTCTGTGCAATCTTTAAAAAACACCATATGCTTTGGTATTTGTACAGCTGTTTTTTATTTGTTTTGATATTATTATTATTATTATTATTATTATTATTTAATTTGTGTTACTGTAAAGCACTGTGACCCCTCCTCGTCTGAGAAAGCGTGTGTTCCTCCTCAGGTGAGCTGGAGTCCCGACAGCACGCAGCTGATCTCCGCATCGGGGGACAAGACGGTGAAGCTGTGGGACGTGGGCACCGGGACAGGGGTCACGACCTTTAACCTGGGCTCAGATGTGCTGGACCAGCAGCTGGGCTGCCTGTGGCAGAAGAACCACCTGCTCAGTGTCTCTCTGTCAGGATTCATCAACTACCTGGACAAGAACAGCCCCGACCGGCCCCTGCGCACCATCAAGGTCTCAATCATCACTAACACTACTTCTTTTCTGTTAAAGCTGCAGTGTGTGATATCCAGGAGGATCTGTTGACAGAAGTGCAATACCATATACACATGTGTTCAGTGGTGTATAAAGACCTGACATAATGAACCGTTATGTTTTTATTAGCTTAGAACAAGCCGTTTCTCTCTACACACACCGCGTTTCTACGGTGGCCCTGAGCGGACAAACGCGTTTCGTCACTATGTTGTTCTTCATGATAAGAAGCTGCTAAAGTCAGCGAGTTAAACACTGACACAATGATGAACAAGTGACAATAATATTCGCAATAACATTGTTTTAGTGAATAATTAAGTAAACCTAATTTCTTAATTTATCTTTGTAAAGAAACCGCTTAACTGGCTACTCTGCTGTCTCAGACGACGACATCACTTCCTGTCGGCCACCGTAACTTCTGCCGCTAATACTTACACACTGCACCTTTAAACAAACACAGTTCTTCATTTACCTTTGCACTGCAAACGGGTGGGCGGTCCACTGGGTGGGCGGAGTTATGAGGTTTGACTAACAGTTTGTCTAATAAAGCTTTTATTAATTTATATTTAAGTTTTAGTTTTCATCAGTGTAGTGCATCAACTAGATGAAAATAAGAAATGTTGCTTTTGGCAAAGTTATTTATATTTTGTTTTAATATATTAAGGAATGAAAATGTTACTTTGTTTTTAGTTAATTGGAGTGGTTGTGTGTGTTTCAGGGTCACACCAAATCCATCCAGTGTCTGACGGTTCATAAAGCGGACGGCCGGCTGAACATCTACTCCGGCAGTCATGATGGACACATTAATATCCTTCAGCTCAACCTGCTGTATTCCTGCAGCGCTTTATACAGTTTCAAGCAGCTTCACTAATAACAGAGTCAATGCAAACTTCAGATATGAGATTAATTCAAATTAAGACATGAGTCAATAGTCAGATCAGTGCGGGTTTAGTGTAGGTCTAGTGCAAGTCCAGTGCGGGTTTAGTGCAAGTCCAGTGCGGGTCCAGTGCGGGTTTAGTGCAAGTCCAGTGCGGGTTTAGTGCAAGTCCAGTGCAGGTCCAGTGCGGGTTTAGTGTAAGTCCAGTGCGGGTTTAGTGTAGGTCCAGTGCGGGTTTAGTGTAGGTCCAGTGCAAGTCCAGTGCGGGTCCAGTGCGGGTTTAGTGTAAGTCCAGTGCGGGTTTAGTGTAGGTCCAGTGCGGGTTTAGTGTAGGTCCAGTGCGGGTTTAGTGCAAGTCCAGTGCAGGTCCAGTGCGGGTTTAGTGTAAGTCCAGTGCGGGTTTAGTGTAGGTCCAGTGCGGGTTTAGTGTAGGTCCAGTGCGGGTCCAGTGCAAGTCCAGTGCGGGTCCAGTGCGGGTTTAGTGCAGGTCCAGTGCGGGTTTAGTGTAGGTCCAGTGCGGGTCCAGTGCGGGTTTAGTGCAGGTCCAGTGCGGGTTTAGTGTAGGTCCAGTGCGGGTTTAGTGTAGGTCCAGTGCAAGTCCAGTGCGGGTCCAGTGCGGGTTTAGTGCGGGTTTAGTGCAGGTCCAGTGCGGGTTTAGTGTAGGTCCAGTGCGGGTCCAGTTCAAGTCCAGTGTGGGTCCTGTGCGGGTTTAGTGTAGGTCCAGTGCAAGTCCAGTGCGGGTTTAGTGCAGGTCCAGTGTGGGTTTAGTGTAGGTCCAGTGCAAGTCCAGTGCGGGTTTAGTGCAGGTCCAGTGCGGGTTTAGTGTAGGTCCAGTGCGGGTCCAGTGCAAGTCCAGTGCGGGTCCAGTGTGGGTTTAGTGTAGGTGCAGTGCGAGTTTAAGGCGGGTCCAGTGTAGGTCCAGTGCGGGTTTAGTGTAGGTGCAGTGCGAGTTTAAGGCGGGTCCAGTGTGGGTCCAGTGCGGAGTGCGGGTTTAGTGTAGGTCTAGTGCGGGTCCAGTGCGGGTTTAGTGTAGGTGCAGTGCGAGTTTAGGGCGGGTCCAGTGCAAGTCCAGTGCGGGTCCAGTGCGGGTCCAGTGCGGGTTTAGTGTAGGTCCAGTGCGGGTTTAGTGTAGGTGCAGTGCGAGTTTAGTGTAGATGCAGTGCGGGTCCAGTGCGGGTTTAGTGTAGGTGCAGTGCGGGTTTAGTGTAGGTCCAGTGCGGGTTTAGTGTAGATGCAGTGCGGGTCCAGTGCGGGTTTAGTGTAGGTGCAGTGCGGGTCTAGTGCGGGTGCAGTGCGGGCCCAGTGTATGTCCAGGGTGGGTTTAGTGTAGGTGCAGTGCGGGTCTAGTGCGGGTGCAGTGCGGGCCCAGTGTATGTCCAGGGTGGGTTTAGTGTAGGTGCAGTGCGGGTCCAGTGTATGTCCAGGGTGGGTTTAGTGTAGGTGCAGTGCGGGTCCAGTGTGGGCCCAGTGTATGTCCAGGGTGGGTTTAGTGTAGGTGCAGTGCGGGTCCAGTGTATGTCCAGGGTGGGTTTAGTGTAGTTGCAGTGCGGGTTTAGTGCGGGTCCAGTGCGGGCCCAGTGTATGTCCAGGGCGGGTTTAGTGTAGGTGCAGTGCGGGTCCAGTGTATGTCCAGGACGGGTTTAGTGTAGGTGCAGTGCGGGTCCAGTGCGGGCCCAGTGTATGTCCAG